AAGAGTGGTAATAAATTCATCACTGTTCTCTGGTGGTGGGTGGCCCATTAGAAGGGCAGCAGGATGCAAACCCCAGGTGGGGAAGCCTGTGCTGTGAGCTGACACAGCTCCTCCACCTTCTCTTTGCCATCAGGGCTGCGAGGAGCCATGGCCTTCGCCTTGGCCATCCGCGACACGGCCACGTACGCGCGGCAGATGATGTTCAGCACGACACTCCTCATCGTCTTCTTCACGGTGTGGGTGTTTGGTGGGGGCACCACGGCCATGCTGTCCTGCCTGAACATCCGGTGAGTGTGGTGTGCCTGGGGCTTTCGTGGGGCAGCAGGTCCTCTCCCTCATCCTGCTCTGAGGTTAAGGTGTTGTGTTTTAAGAGACAAGAGGCAGATCACATCATTCCCCCCTGGTTGTGTGTGCTAACCTTGTGCTTGTCTTCTCCTCCACAGAGTCGGTGTGGATGCAGACCAGGAGAACGTGGTGAGTGTGTGGGCAGGGGCCTGTCTGTGCCCCTTCCAGCTCTAGGAGAGTTTTAGCTTCTCTGGTGAAAGAGTTTGCAGTCAGTGGGAGCAACAGCATTTCTGTGCTGTCTGTGGTTAACATGAGACTTGCTTTGATTCAGCTGAAAAGAAGGGCACAGAAGCAATGCTGGACTGTTTAGTCAGTCCTCATTGTTGCTGCAATAGATCTGGTCTCTCCTTTGCTGGGTTTGAAATAAATCCCAAAATGAGCATGACATGGAAACTCTGCTTCATCCCAGCATCCAGAGCAGGGCAGAAACACTATTTACTGACTCATTTTATGTAACATCTTCTCTCCCACTTCTACCCATGGGTACCCTCAACTTTTGCCCCTCTGTTTCCTGTGGGTAGTTACGTGGCAGCTCCAGAACCACTGACCACAGAGATAAATGCTGGAGCCTTGGGACTTTTCCTGCCTGGCAGCCCTGGGCTGTGTTGCTTGTGCATTTGCAGCCTGGTCATGCTTGATTTCAGTATGGATTCTGCACCTTGGAGGTTCATTTTATTCAGAGCCATTTATTGGGCTGTTCACCTCCCGGAGAGAAAGCATCAACTGCTACAGGCAGCCCAAAGCCATAAATCTGTAAGCTAGATCTCAGTGAAATAAGTAATTGTATTCATAGTCCCCTCTAAGCAGTTTTATATTCACTTCTCTTACTAAAAGGAAGCCTGGAGTTCCCACAACACACTATTATTTGCATACAGAGGTCTCAGGGGAGATTTGATGGAGGTTGGACCTGTCAGTCACTATTAAATGTGATGTGTGGATGCTGATGCTGGCTCCAAGGCACTTAAAACCTTGTGGCCAGACACTGGAAGGCTCTAGCAGAAAACTGGTCACTCTGTGCTTTGACACCACCTCCCTAAGGCTGTTGAACGCTGCTAAGTGCAGGGTGTGGGCTGGAGGCACCTTCAGCTTGTGGTGTGAATGTCCTCGTACTCACTGCAGCCCAAAGGTTTCTCTGAGGAGGCAGTGAGAAGGTGTGTCTCTTCTTATGGGGATAATCCAGTGTCCCATGGGGACTTCTGAACATCAGCCTGCCCCTGTTTAATGTTCTGCTCTCCTGCAGGGTGTCCCAGAGAGCGAGAGGAGGAGTACGAAGGCCGAAAGTGCTTGGCTCTTCCGCATGTGGTACAACTTTGATCACAAGTATCCTTGAACCACAGTCGGTGTGTGCTGTGTCAGAGCCCACTGCCCAAGCAGCTCTGTTAACGGGGAGCATGACTTGCTCCCTGCTTAGCAGAGGAGCCACTGTTTGCTTTCCCATTACACTGCTGGGTTTTGGTGTGAGGAATAACTGTTTCCACCTGCTATCTGGGAATGCAGTGGCAGCTCCGTTCAAAGCTGGGCACTCTAAGGCACCCCAGGGGTCTTTGGTCCCAGTGGTAGGTGGGCAAGGGATCTTCTCACTTGCAGCCCTCTCACTGCATCTGTGCCCCTCCTCCCTTCCAGGTGCTGTGTGGTGAGTTAGCAGAGGAACAATGTGCCAGGCTGAGGCACAGGCTGATGGGACAACCAGTGCTGCTGAGCATCTTACCAGGACTGTGTCCTGGTCTGCTCATGTCCCACTGTGTTTGATTGCATTCATGTTGCACATCCATATAATTTCTGTGCTTCCAGAGACTTGTGTTTCTTTCCTTCTTGTGATTTCCTTGAGACACTGAGTCCCTCACTGCTGCCATCCCACCCCTTGACTTGCCAACATTGTCCTATTCCTCTTTCTTCCTTAACCCTCTTCGTAGCTATCTAAAGCCTCTCCTGACACACAGTGGTCCTCCCCTGACGACCACACTCCCAGGGTGCTGTGGTCCTGTTGCCCGGTGCCTGACAAGTCCTCAGGCATATGAGGTGAGTCCATCAGTGTCCTTTCTGTCACAAGTGTTGGGGAGTTTGACATGTTTCTGTTTCTGTGTTAACTTGTTGATGCTGCTCTGCAGCAACGAGCTGGGAGCCTGAGGACAGATCAGATGGTGGGGCTGATGGATGAGCTAATTCCCATGAGCATTTTGATTTTCCAACTGACTGTTTGGTCATGAAGGGATTTGTGGTGTGTTCCTGGTGGTTCCTCAGTGACTGGCTGGCTCAGTGAAGCTGTCACCGGTGTTCTCCAGGCCCAGCTGGGAGAACACGCAATTCCCCATCCCCTGCTTTCTTCCAGCCTTGTAGCTTAGGCTCTTCAGCTGCATCACTCACAAACAAAAATGTTGCCAGCACCTGAAACAGGACTGATTTTCTCCAGAAATAATTAAGAGCCCTTGTTTGAGCTGCCCAGGGGGGCAGGGAGATGCCAAGCATCTGTGGAGAGCCTATAGGCAGTGAACTCTTCCACCATGCAGAGCCTGTGTGCACCCATGCCCTGCAAGGAGCTGGTTTTGCTGCTCAGGCTTGGCCCCTGGAGCACTGTGGGTGGCTAGTGCTGACCTGGCTCTCCATCAGGGCCTTGGTACTCGGGGCATTGCCATGCCTGGGAGTCCTTCACAGCTGCAGCTCTGCATGGCAGGAGTTTCCTTGCTCTGCCAGAAAAGTATTGGCATCAGGTTCCCTTAACAAACCAGAGATGGCTGTGGTGGGTCAGCAATGTGGTTCCTATGCTCATGGGTATTTTGGTGCTGTCAAAGCCACTCAAAAACTGCATTCCCCTATGGCACCAGAAAGGAGCCAGGAGAGCCCTTTTAAGCAGCCTGCAGAGAAATTGGTGCCTGGCTCAGAGATGTGTGTGTGGCATGTCTGGTTATGGTCACACTGCAGGAGAATCTGTGATTTGGTGCCTCTATCTACTCATTCACCACCACCATGCGATTGCCAACAGCTATTCAGGACGAGTTCACAGCACTTTCCTCCTTCTGTTGCCCAGAACCAGGAGCAGCTGAAGGACGATGACTCTGACCTCATTTTGAATGATGGGGACATCAGCCTGACTTATGGAGATTCCACTGTCAACACCGACTCGGTGGCATCCAGCGGCACGTCGCGGCGGTTCGTGGGGAACAGCTCTGAGGACGCGCTGGATCGGGAGCTCGCGTTCGGGGACCATGAACTTGTAATCCGTGGAACTCGCCTGGTCCTGCCCATGGATGATTCAGAGCCCCCATCAAACGTCCTGGATAATGCAAGACATGGTCCTGCATAAGGTTGCTCGGTTTAATTGACAGTAATATTTGCATATATGATCAAAAAGTATGTACTACCTAAAGTCTAATGCATGTCTCAAAAATGTCTAAGCTGTATAAATATTATTTATATGGTGTCAGAAGAATATAAATATTCTCTGCCAAGCACTTGTAAAGAACAAGCTGCAAATTTAAGTTAAAAACTGTGTTGACTGCACTATGTAGGGTGGAACTGTTTTAGCGTAAGAGTCTTTTGCACACAGTGAGCTTCGTTAATGTGTGATTTGATGAAGGGTTTAGTTCCCAGCGGGTAGGTAAAGGAGCTGACTCCCTGTTCATCCTTTGAGCCTCCTTTGAGGAGGGTAGGGAGGTGCTGGCGAGCAGTGGAAATCGCTTTCTAGTCAGATGAGGATGGGTAGGGTTGTTTGTTTTTTTTAAACCTCTGATCTTTGGGTAGTTACGTTTGAAATATCAGCAAAAAATGTGCCCACAGACCCTCTCGCCAGGCAGTGGATGGTGATAAACTTGGTCACTTTGTGGGAACCTAGAGACTTTCTGCTTTTTAGTGACCCTCTGCCCAAGCCCTACTATAGAGGGCTCACGGCAGACCCAGCCAAGGCTGACAGCAAGGGCTGTGGGTGTCTGGCTGCTCCGATGGGAGCAGGAGGAAGGGATGGTTGGTGTCTGTAGTCATAGAATCATCAAGGTTGGAGGAGACCTCTAAAATCATGGAGTCCAACCATTAGCCTGCCACTCTGCTGTTAAAATACCATGTTTAGGAGAAGGAGGTGATCCCACAGAACCTACACCAGGCATGCACAGATTTTAGGGCTGAGTCCATCTTTCAGCTGTGGCTCAAACAGCTTTCTAGAACCAGCTGTGAAATCCTCAATTGGCAACTAAATGTCACATTTGGGAAGGGACCGTGTCTTTGAGCGAGCGAATCTCTTCTCATGCAGTCACAGAGGTAGCCAAGGTGTGCAGAGCTGCACACAGGGCCATGGAGCCAGCCTGGAACACGAGCTGTGCAGCTACAGATCGACGTGGTACCCCTGGAGCTGTCCAGAGGCACCAAGGGGAGTGTCCGTCCGTCCTCCCGTAGAGTCAGAAACCATTGCACTTTGTTTGGTAACTCCTTCGCATGCTGTGTGTCTGCAGTCCCCACCCAACCTTTCTCGTGTCTTCTGCCATTTAATGAGAAATGTTTGTGAGTTGATTTCTGGTTTTGATTTGTGTTTTCCAAGGAAGAGCACAGAACAATTTGCGATTTCATACTAGTGTTAAAGGATTTATTCTCTAGTTATGGAAATGGCTAAAGGTGCAGTGAAACTGTTAATCCTGACGTCCTTCCTTTTCTCCTGAAAAGGAGGAGTCACAGAAATTTACTGTATGTAATTTTATTGTCTATTTTATCTACGGTTTTGCTATACAAACCTTTCAGGGTTACTGGTGCACTACAGGCCCCTTTGGAGTTAACCCTCTCCAGAGGGCTTAAACAGAGGTGTTTGAATTGAAAATACATGAAAAAGAGCCAGGTGAGTCCGAGCACTCACGGCTCCCATTAGCTGTCCTTGGAACAAACTCTGCATCTCTCAGGATCCCACCCTGAGACCTCAGAGCAGTGTCCCCACGGCTGTTTTCCCCAGCACCACCTGAGAGCTGGAGGAGATAAGAAATCCTGAAATTTCAAGTGTATATGTACAGTTGAGAAAATAAATTTACACTTTTTTGGTTTTTTTTTTTCATTTTCTCAGGTCTAAGTAACATTGCCTTAAATTTCTGGATGTGAAACTAATTATTTTGGCAGTTTATCCCCAAGAAAATGCTTTTTTTTTTGTTTCCTTCTGAACAAAATGTCTAAGTGTTGCCATAGGACTCCCCTCAAAGGGGGCAATGCTCTGTTTGTATTTGGATAGGGCATCTTCCTCGCACCTGTAAATGGCATCCTGCTGTTAACATAGCTGTTGGATTAGTGCTGGCCTTTGTTTCCTACTATGCAGGAATTCCATAAAGTGAGTGTGCATTTTATATGATGTCTGTAACTTAACTTCATGTGTTTAAAAGAAAAAAACCAAACAAAAAAGGAGAAAAAAAAAAAGTTGGTACCTGTTGATTTTAGGTTTACTGTATCACTTCCACATCCTGGTTTTCATTCGTTCTGCCTTTCTGAAGAGGTATGATAAATAACTACCTCTTGTTTTTTCCTGTATAGTCTGACTATGAGTTCAATTTACAGAGTTGGTGCAGCTGGAGGTGCAGAAGAGTTCTGCTCCCCCTGAGAGCCTGTGGTCCCATCAGCAGGGCCCGAGCACTGGCACAGCATAAGGGCAGTGCAGGGTTCCCTCCCAGGCATTCACAACCAGGGTGCACATTCATAGCTGAGATGGTGTGTTACCATAGCTGTGGTACCATTCCTCTCCTTCTCTGACCCTTCCACTTCAATAATTTACCCACTCACTTGCCAACATGTTACCACAAGCCTCAGCATTTGATACCAATAACAGTTCAGTTAGGACATCAAAGAAAGAAAAAACTAACAAATTATCATTTTATGCGTTACCTGTGAACTCTTATGATCCATACATAATATAACCAGGACTGTTTGGAACAGTCTTGGTGAATGAATGAATCTAAGCTGAAATTCAGGAGTGATTTAGTAGATGACTCAGATTTGTCCTCAGCTGATTATTTTCTTTGTCCAGCTGCAGCAGAGCATCCACATCTGGTGTGCAGATGCAGAGCCCTGATGCCTGCAGCTGTGGTTAAGAGTACCTTGGAGAATCAGGGCCCAGGACCTTTTGCCAAATAATAAGACAGCCCTGAGGAGGCAGTTTACAGCGCCCACAAAGATTCAGAGAAGGTGCCCTTCTTCTGTAAATTGAATTTTCATGGTTTTTGCACACGAAAAAGCATTGTAGGTAAAGTTATGATTTGTACTGGTACTGTCGATTTGTGTGGTAATGGCATTAACCCTGTAGCTGTGGTGTTTGTGCAGCTGATGTGTGATAGCTGATGATCACTATTGGACCTTCTGTTTACACTGACTAAATCCCTTACTGTTGCGTTGTACTGTGAAAGAAGGATGATGGGCCTATAAAAGATTTTTTTTTTTTTTGAATTGTGTGTACAGTTTCGTTAATTCACACGGAAATAAACCTGTAGCAAAGTGACAATGTGCCACTCAACCTTCTCAGACCAGTTTGTTCAAAGGCAGCACCCACGGGTGCTCCTGCCTTCACCCCAGCTCCTGGGACATAGCCCAGCCCCAGGGCCATCCTCCCTCCCAGGAACAGGCCTGGGGAGTGGAGAGATGCTGATGTCTGCTGAAAGCTGCTGTGTCTCCCAGGCTCCTCCACCAGCAGCAAACCCAGCTGGGGTAGCACTGCTGACTCACATGGGCCCTGGGGTGGTGGGTGGACCTGCATGAGAGGTATTGCTATGGGCTGTTTGTAAAATTAAGACTCCTGAACCTTCACAGAATCATAGAATTTTAGGAGTTGGAATGAACCTTACAGATCATCTAGTCACGGCCCACCTTGCCATGGGCAGGGCCACCTCCTCACTAGACCAGGTTGCTCAAGGCCTCATCCAGCCTGGCTTTGAACATCACCAGGGTTGGGGCAGTGTTTCATGAGCTTTTATGTCCAGTGGTTTTGTTGACTTTGCTTTTGGGCTCATAGCTGGTGATTCTGCTCTCCATCTCCCATCTGTACCTATTTTGTGGTGCCCTTTGCTGTTGAAGCAGCTGAAGAGGCAAGTTGTTCAAGTGCTTTACAGTCCTTCAATAGAGAGGGCACCTCAGACACTTCAGGAATCTGTTTTTGAAGGCTTTGATTCACAAAGGACAACCTTCATCTCTTGAATGGTGCAAAAACACATTGTTTGCAGCTTTGCATTGCTGGGGAGGATAGCCCTGAAACCTAGTTATACACACTTGTCTCCCATCCACAGCAGTGGAAAGTTGAGGGGATGTCTGTGCTGCTTTCCAAAGGTTCTGTGGTCCTTGTGTGTGGTGGCACATTCTGAACTGTCCTGCTGGGCTTTGCCAAAGCTGTGACTGCAGCTCACCAAAGCACTGTGAGCCTGTGAGTGGGATTGGCTTGTCCAGCATCACACTGGTCATGGGTGGCCTGTGCTACTGGGAGTCACAGGAGTGGGACAGGAGACAACAGTCTTTATTTTCTTACAATGAAATGACATTAATTCCTCCTGGCATTCTCACACTTCAAAATCCTGGCAATCAGAATAAATACCGCTAATCCACTGGGTGTGTGCCATCCAGCCCAGGCTTGGGTCGGACTCAGGCATGTAACTAAAACCTCACACTTCAAAATCCTGGCAATCAGAATAAATACCGCTAATCCACTGGGGCCATCCAGCTCCAGCCCAGGCTTGGGTCGGACTCAGACATGTAACTAAAAGATGTAATTTAGCAATGGAACAAATACCTTTTGGCAGCTCTTTACCTTCACAAGCCCTTAGAAGAAGTGCAGCACATCCCTTCATGGATTATTTCCTTGAAATAAGGTCTGATTCCGGCCCTTGGCCTCACTGTTGGTGAGCAGTATCTTCAGTGCCTAGATGTAGTTGGGACCATCTGCTGTGCATCCACCCTCCCCAGTGCAGGCAGCTGCAGGCTCTGGGATGGGCTTTCTGTGCCATGAGCTGGTATGTCATATCAGCCATGCAGAAATATTTGGGGTAGGTGCTGTTCAGAGGCACTGGCAGCAGGGACAAGGCAAATCCCTGCATGGTCAGGGGAGGGGGAGCTGTATCACAGCCACTTGCTGAATGGTCCCTGGTTTATTAGTTCCATTCAGTTAGAGCTGATGAGGAGCAGCTTTCAGTCAGGCTATCGTACCATCTGTCCACCTTCATGTGGGGATCAGTAAAGCACTGGGAAATGGGCCAACACTGGGTATCTACAGCCTCAAAAAAATCACAAGGCTGTTTTTATAGCAATCCTGTATTCCCATGCCCAAGGTGCAGACAGTCCTGCGCACTTGGCTCTTCGTCTCTGTTGCATGCCGGGGGAGCATTTATCTGTGGTAAAATTAAAAAGCAAGGTTTTGAGTCTTCCTTACCTCATCGTGGCCTGCAAGCAGCTCTGGTCCTTGCTGGGTCCTCTAGATGGCAATATTGGAAAGGACAGTAGTTGTCCATCACGACTGTGCCCCTGCAGGTCTGGGCAGTGCAGAGCCCACC